CATGCCACAGGTCGAGATGACATGAAAGCAGACTGTATTCTGTATTACGGCTTTGGAGATATATTCAGAGTAAGTTCGATGGTGGTCATGGAAAACGTGGGGCAGCAGAAGCTTTATGAGATGGTGTCATACTGTCAAAACATAAGCAAGTAAGCCATGTATCTTTTGTTTAATATTCATTTTGTATATTTATTTAGCTTATTTGAAAGTCAGAATTACAGAGAGGAGAGCCAGAGGGAGAAATATCCTACCCACTGGTTCACTCTCCAATGGCTGCAACAGCCAGCGCTAGGTCAGTCTAAAAGAACCAGGAGCTTCTTTTGGGTCTCCCATGTGGGTACAAGGTCCCAAGGCCTTGGGTCATTTTCTGCTGCTTTCCCAGGCCACTAGCAGAGAACTGGATTGGAAATAGAGAAACCAGGACTTGAACCAGCACCCATATGTATGCTGGCGCTGCAGACGGAGGATTAGCTTGATAACTGCCACCATGCCAGGCCCACAACATTCCTTTCATTACTCTGAGAACTTACTAGACACTGTGGTGTAATGCCAAAGTGTAAATCCATTAGAGCAGAGATCTCAAAGTGGGAATCAGTACTTGCACCTGAATGATCTTCCTTCATCCAAGGAAAGATGCTTGCTCCATCTTCCTCTCCCCAGCTCGTGCTGAAAGGAAGACAATAGCCAGTGACAGGTAATGGTATTTCTCACCAATGAAAGTTATAGATAGAGAAATGAAAATTTCTTCAAAGGTCTAGCCAGTCGATTCCCTTGAAGTAGATTTTGGGGGTTAGAATCAAATATGGATACTGTAAGATATAAGAATCTATTGTTTGCCAGAAAGATTCTCCTAACAGTTAAAATCTCAAATTGAAACCCCAACACCTTTTTAAGGTGTTGTTTTATCAAGAACCACGGGGTACAATCATGTAGTAAACAGAATGGCCTCCACACAATCATGGTCTAGTCCTTGAAAACTTAGGTTTGTTATGGTAAAGGGGAAATGAAAGCTGCAGAGGGAATGCAAGTTGCTAAGCAGCTAGTTTTAAAATGGGGAAATTATCTTGGAAAATCTGGGTTGGCAGGTGTTTTAAGAAGAGGAGGGCAGCGTAGGTCAGAATGATGACCCTCGAGGAGTTTTCAGCCTCGGTAAACATGTAAATTTTTCATTCTGGGGAAGCACAAGGGCTGTCAGGGAGCCCTGGAAGTGGGCAGCCTCTGTAGACTGGAAAGAGGAAACAGATTGTCCCTCGGGCTGCAGAAGAAACCCAGCACTGCGCATCCGCTGATTTAGATCCAGTGAAGCCCACGTTGGACTACTAGCTTACAGAAATGAAAGAAAAATACCTCTGCTAAGGTTCTGAGAATAAATTTGCAGCGGTAGGAAAGTAATGAATTAAGTAACTGTGTATTCTGAAATAGGAATTTTAAAACTTCAATTAAATCCTTGAAGCATCTCTCTCTGAATGTGTTTACAGATGTCGCCGTGTACTGATAGCGCAGCATTTTGATGAAGTTTGGAACTCAGAAGCATGTAACAAAATGTGTGATAATTGCTGCAAAGACGTTTGTAAGTTCTTTTTTTTTTTTAACCTTTATCGGCCAATATATACAGTGAGAGAAGTATTAGACTCCCAACAAGATTGAAAATATTAAGCTGCTCTGAATAAAATTTTCTAGATTTAAACGTAATACCAAGTTTGAAACAAAGATGAGTTAAAGGAAAAATCAGAAATGCTTTAATTCTACTGAATAGAAACACTGTTACCTAAGTAAGGGTTGGGAAAGGGATTTGGGCACAGCTGGTTAAGCCACTGCTTGCCAGCTTTCCATATTGGAAGGGTAGTTTAATTTCTAGCTGCTCTGCTTCCAGTCTAGCTCCCTGCTAAAGTGCCTAAGAGGTCAAAGATAGCCCAAGTACTTGTGCCACTGCTACCCATGTGGGAGATCCAGATGGAGCTTGGGGCTCTAGCATCAGCATTGCCCAGCCCTAGCCATTGTGGCCATTTGGGGAATGAACCAGTGGGTGGAAGCTCGCTCTCTCTCTTTTCTTTCAATCACTCCACCTTCCAGGTAAAGAAAGTAAATCTTAATAAAAGAGAGGGGGATCAAGACTAATCTCGCTACAATGCTTCATATTTACTGATTGGAAGAAAAATTAGTGAAAAATAGATTATAGTGAGTCATTTTTAATGTATGTAATGTCCATAAGACAGTGAGCAGTATTTTGGTGCTGCACTGTAACATTTCTCACGTGTCTTGCAAATGTAGTTTTGTATTAAGAGTCTAACTAGTCCTTTGTTCAAGGACTGGGTTCTGATGCCTTAGTGGGTCCTACGTTTTCATTTCTGCTGGATGAGACACTTGTTTGACAGCATGAAAACTGTCCATCTAAGAGTCTGATGCATGTATTAGAGTGCTAATCTTACACTTACTGGGGATGTCTGTCCAAAACAATGTTGTTTAAGAACCTCCCTGAGCTTGCAGATTCTTGCCGACTGTTTAGCTTAGCACACATCAGGGAGGCTGAAGCAGACTGGCTCTCCTATAAAGCACATCTCCCAGTAAATGCCACCATCAGTCTAATAGCCACTTTCTGGTTCCTGGGTCCTAGAACATACAGCAGCCCTTCTGATAGGTGATATTCTTTGTATCAGTGGAACTCCCACAGTGTCTTATATCCTGTAATTTGGTTTGGTGACAGAGATGTAAGGAATAGCCTAGTTTTAAGACATAAAAGAAATCATTGTGTAGGCTGGCTCACGTGGATAACTGGATCTACACTAGTCTAACCACTTAGGATGGCCTCGCCTTCCTCCCGTTTCTAAATCCCAGTTGCTTCTCCCCGTGTCTGCTTGATTGCAGCGTATGAAAAACAAAATGTCACTGAGCATTGCAGAGATCTCATCAAGATCCTGAAACAGGCAGAGGAACTGAATGAAAAACTCACCCCGCTGAAACTGCTGGACGCCTGGATGGGAAAGGGTGCAGCCAGACTCAGAGTGGCAGGTGTCAGTGCTCCCGTGCTTCCTCGGGAGGAGCTGGAGAGGATGGTCGCACACTTCCTCCTGCAGCAGTACCTCAGGTAGCTATAAACCCCCTGCGTGTCCTCATGTTCTCTGTGTGCCTGTTTGTGTTAAAACTGCAACAGAATCAATGTCTGTGCAGGTGTTTCCTGCAAACTCATGATTAATTATTGAATTAGCTAACTCAAACCCCAACGGGCCACTCTAGGTCAAAGCACAACACTTTCTATAATATCCCGGTGTTACTTAAAATCATTACACGTTTGTTTCTTTTATACACTCGTTTTCTGTGGTTCTTCCAGGAGATTTGATCGCTGGCCTTTATCTTCTGCAGGGAAGACTACAGTTTCACAGCGTATGCTACCATTTCTTATTTGAAGATAGGACCCAAAGCCAGTCTTCTTAACAGTGACGCCCATGCAATCACCATGCAGGTGAAGAAGCCCAACAAGAACTGCTTCCGGGTAATGGTTCATTTTCAACTGTTAGGGAATAGATTAAAGCCTATAGGATGCTCTCCTGTAGGTATACTTTCCCTTCCCACCCACTGCCCTGTAGCCCGGCACCATATAGACTAGGAGTTTCCATCCTCTTTGAGGGCTGCTCAGCTTGGTGGAGCATCCTGCCCTCATGGTGTTCCTGGTGTTTGACCAGTGCTGCTGAAGAGTCTGCACAACCTCAGAGAATGAAAAGCACCGCTAGGAACCATCGTGAAGCTTGTGAAAGCAAGCATGTGGGGCTCCTGCAGAATTTAGGATGACCGTGACCAACACAGTCCCTTTTATCCAAGATAGGGATTATAATTGAACAGAAATCTGAAGATTAAAAACCAGACTCCTGGCTACTTAAAAGACCTAACTGATACTGAAAGATTATTTAGAGCTGAACCTCGTGAGAAAGCCAAAGAGCTGCCTCTTTACCAGAATTCCTATTTTGTTATTTTTCTGTAGGTTGAACCATCTCAAAGTTGTCATTCTGAAAGAGAACATTCGGGTGACTTACAAAAGAAGGCCGCCAAGGTACTTCGGCCGCCCGATTCCAAGGCCCCGGGGGCTAAGAGGAGGAAAATGGAAGACGCCTGAAGTGTTTTTACTGTGCTTTCCAGGTAAAGGACACTGTATGCATGTGCACACTGTTATTTTTTCAGTATATCAGAACTTTAATTTTTAAAAAAATTACGGACATTTTATACACACCACGCTATGTTTTCAGAGCTTATAGCTAAGGATTTCAGAATTTGAGATTTTTTACAAAATTGAAGCTCATGGATGATATAATTTTACAGTACAATATGAAACAAGGAAAAATAAATTTTTTCCTTATAAAATCCTTTAAAACACAAAATTTTTGCAAATAAGCTCACAAAGCTCTGCAGTGTTTCATACTTTGCTGTCATAGTTACACTTTTCTTTTGCCAGAGCTTTTTTGCATTTCACAGTCAACAAATGGTTCTGGTACATTGAAGTGTATTTTGGTTAAGCAGGTGACAAGTTAGCTAAATTTGCTGCAAAGCTGAACCACAATTGTGTTTATGTCTAAAATACCAAAAGGAAGTAATTTGTGATTTCTTGCAAAATAGGGTCAATTCTGTCAGAAAAGTATATCTGGGGCCCGGCGCAGTGGTGCAGTGGTTAAGGTCCTCACCTTGCACGCCCGAGATCCCATATGGGCGCCAGTTCTATCCCAGCAGCCCCGCTTCCCTTCCAGCTCCCTGCCTGTGGCCTGGGAAAGCAGTCGAGGACGGCCCAAAGCTTTGGGACCCTGCACCCGCGTGGGAGACCCGGAAGAGGCTCCTGGCTTCGGATCGGCATAGCATCGGCCGTTGCACTCACTTGGGGAGTGAATCATTGGACGGAAGATCTTCCTCTCTGTGTCTCCTCTCTGTATATCCGCCTTTCCAATAAAAAAAATAATAAAAATAAATCTTTTTTAAAAAAGAAAACTATATCTGTAAATAAATTATTTGAACGTATATCATTTTTGTAGTTTATTATGCTTTTCCAGTACAACCGTTATCATTTCTGTTTTTATTCATTGCAGTGTGGTCTTCATGTCATCAGTACATTCATTGTCTCGTGATTTCTGTGTTTCATTTAAAACTGTGGTTCTTGAAGAAATTCCAATGTTAGTCAAAATAATCTTCTATATCTATATTTGGATCTAGCAGATCTTCCCCATATGATGAAAGATTCATTTGGTTTAAAATCAAGTTTTCAAATGTTTCTTCTAAGTCCGTTTCACCAATTAGGACAGCTCCCATCATTCGTCCATTCTGCATGACGACCTTGACGTATTCTTTCCCTTTGGTACATCTCAGCATTAACTCATGCTCTGAGCCCAAGCCCTGGGCATTGTATTTTCCCAGCAACACAACCTGTGTATTGGAATGAGAAACGGATGCGAAAGTTAGTCACCTGAGTACCTGAAAAAGAAAGGCGGTGTGCACTTCCTTTGTGTCATGTCACAGCAGCCAGCAAGAGACTCTGCAACCAAATTCCACAGCTCACAGTGCCACTGGGGAGAACCTCAAAGCACGCCTCGCATTAGCACGTGTTAATTCTACAAGTAACACTACCACACAGTCTATACTGATGTTAAAAACACCTCGAGTGTACAGAGAGGTGGCTTGTACTGTATTAACCAGGCTTCAGATTTAGTGAAACTGAGTTAGAGGTTTCATGCACAAATTATTTGTTTTCCCAAACTGTGTGGTTGTGTTTCTCCTCATGTAAAATTAAGAAGAAAAAAGCCTGCCTCAGGTTGATGTAAAGAAAATGAAGTTAAGATAGTCTATGTGGGAAGACAAGTAGTTCATTCTTGATTATGCTAGCTCCCGATTCCCCTTACAAAGGAAAGGTAAACCGCAAATAAAACTTAGATCAAAATAAATTAAAGCTAGACAGGTCTTTTTCCTCTTAAATATGAAAGTTACATAAAAGTTGTAAAAATAGTGGTAAAGTCTATCATTTTTCAGATTATTAAAAATTAAGACCAGTAGTAATACCATTTGAAGAAATGAGAAGTCACTTGTTTTGTAAATTGATTTTAAACCATGCAAATTTTAAATGGAAAAAAAAATCAGATTATTTTATTTGGTTGTAAGACCAATAAGCAAAAAAGGCATTAACCTCACTAACTTACCTTATAGTTAAAAAATTTTGTTACGTGGGCAAACAGTTCAAAGCTGAAGTCCATGTCAATGGACTCTCCAACGCTGGCTGCAGCCATGCATTTGGCAGCGTACCATCCCATCTGTCTGGCCTGGGTCCACAGCCTCATCTAAAGGAGAACGTGTGATGCAATATCATTTCATGGTCATCCCTGGAACAAGCTTATTGTAACCTCATTAATTCCCTCAAAGGAGTTCGGCATCTGACATTCCTGCAGAACAGCTCATTCCTTTTTTTTTTTTTTTTAAAAATTAGAAAGTCAGATATATACAGAGAGGAAGATCTGTCCGCTGATTCACTCCCCAAGTGGCTGCAATGGCCAGAGCTGTGCTGATCTGAAGTCAGGAGCCAGGAGCCTCCACCATATCTTCCACGCAGGTGCAGGGTCCCAAGGCTTTGGGCTGTCCTTGACTGCCTTCCTAGGCCACAAACAGGGAGCTTATGGGAAGCAGGGCCACCAGGATCAGAACAGGTGCTCATATGGGAAAGCAGTGCGTGTAAGGCAAGGACTTTAGCTGCTAGGTGGGCCCTGATCATTCTTTTTATTATCATCTTTGCCACAGAAGCAGGCATCAGGGCACACTTACCAAACAGACTTAATATTTGTTTTTCATTTTTAAAAAATTTGCTTCCTTTTTTTATTATTATCATTTATGATACAGTTGCACAGGCCCTAGTATTTCCCTTAACTCCTCCCCATGTCCCCTACCCCTCCACTGAACTGCCCTCGATTATTACTATAGTTCTTTATAAACACAGACTTGATATTTGTTAATTCTTCCAAAAATTTGGTCTCTGAAATAAAGGATGCCAATCATATATTCTCAAAATATTTCTATTACATATTATGAAAATACTTCAGACTCTTAACAGTAAGAACAAAATTTTAATTAGCCAGGTCCCTCTCTGAAGTTTTCGTCAATATTAATTGAGATGCCAAATAATCACTGAACAACATAGTGTCTTCTAGTAACCTTCATCTTCAGCCTACTGTGCAGCTAATCCACTGGTTAAACAGACAGGTATGTCAGCGGGTGCCCAGCCCCAAGACTGCCTACTGAACTTGAGCAACTGGCTGTGGAAACTTATATTCGACGGCATGACAGTACCAACTGCCCCTTGGCTATATTTTGCTATATTTTTTCCATTCCTGCATAGCTTTGGGGTTCCTTGGTAAAAAGAACACTTCTTGGAATCAAAGATTCAAATATCTACTCTTCCACATACTTAACCTTTTTTTCAGCCTGAGTTTCTTCCTTCACCTGCGCATACATTGGACACTACCTGTGCCACGCCACTGGGAGGAGGACAGACAGAGAGGAAGATCCTCTGTCTGGTGATTCACTCCTCAAGTGACCGCAACTGGAGCTGCGCTGATCTCAAGCCAGGAGCCAGAAGCTCTTCTGGGTCTCCCATGTGGGTTGGGCTGTCCTCGACTGCTTTCCCAGGCCACAAGCAGGGAGCTGGATGGGAAGCGGGGCTGCCGGGATTAGAACCGGCACCCATATGGGATCCTGGCGTGTTCAAGGTGAGGCCATTAGCTGCTAGGCCACTGCGCCAGGCCCTATCTATGTGATTGTTAACCTCAGTAGTTTTGTTTTTCATTCTAAGGCTGTTCAGGTTATGGAACAAGGACAGTCTCAGGCATTCTGGTTCCACAGCCTTTGGGATTATGAGGCAGCTGACAGTCCCCTCAGGTATTCCTGCCTGTAGTTCAAAGCACCTGTTTAGCCCCAGTTTCCACCATGCCTTCTACGTTCCTGGCCAAATGCCCACCCCCAAGGTGCGAGCCCTACCAAGTTTGACAAGGCCCTGCAAAACTGCCTCATTTCTCCCACTTCCCCATCTTGGAATATTCCCAAGATCTTCAGCTCTGAAAGGCCTGGGCCCCTGCCATGTGTTCCCCTCATAAACATGTTGGCCGGTGGCCCCCCTCTGCGACTTTGTTTCTCTTTAATATAAATTCGATTTGGCTGTCGATCCCTGTCCTGTCTCCCCATTTTGTCTCTGTTTTACGTCTCTTTCCCAGCATCTAGCATGGTAGCCAATAGCCTATGTAACCATTTAACTTTAATTATAAGTAAATAAAACGTAAATGCCCAATTCCTTAGCCCCATTATCCACCCTTCAAGTGCTGACATGGTACGTGTGGCCAGGGACTGCATGCAGGAAGGCGGACAGCTCACGGCCCCTACCTGCAGACGTGTCTACTGGACGGCAGTGATGAGAATGGAAAGCAACAGCTCACAGTTCTTAAACTCTGATCTACAGCTTACCAAGCAGGCAAAGAAAAAGGCTTTTTTTTTTTTTTGCTTGTTTTGTTTTCTAAATCACCAAACACCTCTGAGATAGCTTCCTGCTTAGCATGACAGATTTGGAAGATCACAGAGTTGGATTTGCGGATAGCAAGCACTTCTACCTTCAGCTGGGCTCCCTGATACAAACAGTCAAATGTGCAGGCTCACCTGCTGCCAGACGGGGCTGGGCTGCCAGGCTGCGGTGCAGATGTCTCCTGCAGCATAGATGTCAGGAAGGGACGTGCGCATGTGGTCGTCCACCTGCAGGCCACCGTCTTCTCCTAGAGCAAACTACACCACAGTCTCCTAAGCAAACTTGGCATTGGCTCACGGGACTTCCTTGACAAGCAAGAGAGCAAGTCAAATGTAACGTAAAAGTTAGCTGCACTTTAAAATCAAAGTCAGATTTCCAGGGACCAAATTCCTATTCAAACAAACTCATAAAATTCTTAAGAATTTCAACATCGCAAATACCCACTAACCATATGCTCACTTCACATATAATTACAAAAACATCCAGTTTTATGTAAACCTCAGATGCTACAAAACGAAAATATAAAGATGGAGTTTTCCAGTTTTGAGAATTCACAGACGGTGTTATTCTTTAAGCAACTTTTAGATAAGTAAATTGAGCAGTATGTCTCTTTTACTGATGACACCTACGCTGGGGTGTTAACTGCCTAAGGACTTTTAATCAAAGAATACTGTAAGACATGGACATAAACCAAACTGTTTTCACCCATCTTAAGTCACAGTTTTGTATTGAAATAGTTACTACTGCTGGAGAAATAGATATCTATGTAAAGAACTAATACTTCAACTAGATCCATAGTTGGACCAAAACTTTGTCCTTACGTTGTTGCCATGGAGGAATGGTTCTACATTTGGTGTCACTCCTGTAGCACTCACGATGAAGTCACAGCCATATATCTTGCCATTGGTCAGTTCCACATACACAGGCCACATCTCTGACAAAAAAACAAACATGGATACTTCATTCTCAAATATAATTGCCAATTAATGTCCAGAATCCTAATTAAATAGGACTATTATTCCTTAAAAAGTTATGAAGTGCATCTGTCAAAATTTTAATATCAACATCATCCTGTTTTAGGGATATTTAAGAAACCCTGGCATTTTCAAAGTTTTTCCTTCAATTTGAACACAGATATTTTAACAAGTTTAATTAGTAATTATTTCTAAATTATTTCCTTAAAAATGTCTATCAAAACTTTGTACTCTACTTAGTTTTCTAGTTCTTAGATTTTTAAATTTTCATTGTTTATCCTCATTATTCACATTCCAAGTCTTTTTTGTTTTTACTGATTTATTTTTATTGGAAAGCAGATTTGCAGAAAGATCTTCCATCTGCTGATTCACTCTCTCCAAGTGACTGTAACTGCCAGAGCTGAGCAGATCAGGAGCCAGAACTTCTGGGTCTCCCATGCGGGTGCAGGGTCCCAGGGCTTTGGGTCATCCTCTGCTGCTCTCCCAGACAATGAGCAGGTAGCTGGAAGGGAAGTGGAGCAGCCAGGACATGAACTGGTACCCGTATGGAATGCTAGCGCTTGGAGGCTGATAATTAGCCAGTTGAGTCAATGTGCTGGCTTCATATTCCAAATCTTTTTAAAAAAGGAAAACATTTATTTATTTGAAAATTGAAGTTTTAGGGAGCAGTGCATTGGCTCAATTAGCCAATCCTCCCCCTCAAGCACCAGGATGTCATATGGACTTCCTGCTTGTGGCCTGGGAAAGCAATGGAGGATGGCCCAAAGCCTTGGCACCTTGCACCTATGTGAGAGACCCAGAGGAAGCTTCTGGCTCCTGGCTCCTGAATAGCTCAGTTCTAGGCATTTTGGCCATTTGGGGAGTGAGCCAGTAGATGGAAGATCTTTTTTTTTCTGTCTTTGTTTCTCTCTGTAAATCTGCCTTTTCCAATAAAAATAAATATTTAAAGGAAAAAATTTTTAAGAAAGAAAGTTACATATAGAGAAAGACAGACACATACACATGAAGAGGTCTTCCATCTTTTGGTTTACCCTCCAAATGGCCACAACAGCCAGAGCTGGGGCAGGCTTGAACCAAGAGCTTCACCTGGGCCTTCTATATGGGCGGCAGGGGCCCTAACCGTTGATCCATCCTCCATAGCTTTGTCCAGGCCCTTTTAGTAGGGAGTGGACTGCAATGGCCGTGTGCTGGACCAAAACTGATTCCCTTCTCTGGGAATGCAATCCAGGTCTCCAATGTGGGTGGCAAACACCCAGTCATTTGAGCCATCACTACTGCTTGCCAGGGTCCACTTCAGTACAAAGCTGGAGTTAGGCAATACAGCCAGGAATAACCCTGACACTTTCATATGGGATTTATGGGCTATGGGTGCTAGGTTAAAACCTCACTCCTACTGGTTTTCTAATATAATATGGTCAGAGTAAATTGTCTTCCTTTTAAATAAGTAGTTTCATTACTTGCCTTTGTCAACTGTAGCTGACTTACTATCGTGGTCTCCAGGAAAAGCCAAAGACTTTTTCTTCAGAATCCTAAATTCTTCCTGAAGGTAGATTTTCTTTGCTTCACACACAGTTTCAATGTGAATCTTACGACAAAACTAAAATTTAAAAAGTAAACATAGTAGTCACCATAATACTTCCAGGAAGAATGAATTGGGTTAGTGCTGCTGAAGGAAACACAATTATGGAAACAGAAAAAAATAATTTGTTTAATGTAACTGATAACACATTATGCCCAAAAATAAACATTGCCATTTCTGTGCAAAAGAGAGAGAAAAATTTCACTCAGTCTGCACAAACCTAGCGGTTGCACTGGCAAGCAGCCTGGGGAATAGGCTTGTTAACCTAAATTTATGATCTATGTATATTTTTCAGCAGTCAGACTGGTTAGAGACTACAAAACCTCCTCGAGGAAGAACTATCCTTTTTTTTTTAAGATTTTTTAAAAAATTAATTACATTGCATTATGTGACACAGTTTTATAGTTACTGGGATTCCCTCCACCCCTCCGCAAACCCTCCCCTCATGGTGGATTCTTCCACTTTGCTGCATTGCCACAGTTCAAGTTCAGTTGAGATGCTTTCATTGCAAGCATATACCAAGCATAGAGTCCAGTATCTTATTGCCCAGATAAGTTCGACAGCTTCTTGGGGAGACCATCTCTGGTCTGAAGGTAGAGCCGGCAGAGTATCATCCCGATAAATTAAAAGCCCCAACATAACATCAGCAACAATTTATAACGTTATGAAATTAGTGGACATAGTATTGAGTAACCAATATGTTAAAATTAAATGCAAGTTCTTAACCACATCTTGTGACTTCTTCATTGACATTTCGATTTTAGTTTATATACAACCAGGTTCTATACCCCTTAAAATGGCTATGGATTACTATTCAGCTGTCTCGTGTCTATTTTCATTGTAGTATTTATTTTTTAAGATTTTTAAAAACGTTTTTACTTGAAAGGCAGAGTTACGCTGAGATGGAGAGACAGAGAGATCCTCTGTCTGTTGGTTTACTTCTCAAATGGCCACAATGGCTGAAGCTGAACACATCTGAAGCCAGGAGCCGGGTCTCCCATGTGGGCATGGGTTCTGGGTCCCAAGGACTTGAGCCATCCTCCACTGCCTTCCAAGGCTCTAAACAGGGAGCTGGATGGGAAGTAGAGCACCTGAACTTGAACCACTGCCCATCTGGGATGCTGGCACTGAGGCAGAAGCTTATTCTATCACACCATGGTGCCAGCCTCCAGGTCTATCTTCATTTATTGGTATATCTCATAAATTTAGTGAAATGGTAGGTTTTAGTAGACAACAAATGCTAACTATCAGAGTTCTCAGGGTAAAAAACACAACTGATTTTAGGATCTAAGGTTACAGAAAGAAATTACTGTCTAGTTTCCATCAGAAAAAAAAGTAGATACACCATGATAGCAGCCTACTCAAGGCTGAAGATCAAATCTTGATAGAAATCATGCACAGTAGTGAAGACCACATGCATGCTTCTTGTGACACTGAAATGTCACAGCCTTTTAACAAGCATTACAAAGAAACAAATCCAATGCATAAACCAGTACAAGCAAGTCATCTTCCTACCCAGTTAGGACAGTGTGCATTTTGAATCCATCTAATAATCTTTACACTGTTATAATTGTAGTTACTGCATGCATCTGCAGAGATCTTAAGAAAACATTAACCTAAACAAGACTTTTGTATACACCTAGCCTGATATGGAGATACTGTCCCTGGCAAGTGAGATACAAGCAAGCAAAGGGCTGCTTTGAGATGGATTTGACACTCACCTATTTTGCGTGGAGAGCTAAGTGCTGAAGTTCTTTCCTAGCATCCTGGATTTTGAGTAACATGATTTAGCAGTTTCTTGACAATATGTCTGTGTTAGCAATTAATCCTTAACCAGTGGCTTAAGTATTTACAATTGTGTTTTTAGACAGCTTAAATCTGTACTTGAAAACATACCTCTTTTGTTCCTTTAAGAGTCAAGCCTTCATGCCAGTCTGGTCCTAAGGCACTGCCTATCTTATCAGCATTAGCTTTGCCTCCTGCTTCCTTTTTTCTTCCTAAAGAGATCAAGCAAAGGATATAAAAACAGCCAAAGAGTCATGCTTATATTCTGTTAGGCAGTGTGATGGTTCTTATGTGTATGCAAACGTACCCAGTCAGTGTGAGTAAGCTATCTACTTGTAGGTTCCACTTTGTTCATTATTTTAATATTTTTTGATGTACAACTACAAAATGGGAGTGTGAAGTATATCCAACTTATTGTTTTGATGCTATACAGCACTGATTACCATGAAGGCAAAGAAAGTAACTTTTCAATTTTCAAGATTTTGTCAATTTTCAGTATCTGCAAAACTTGAGAGAATTCGCTAATTTTACAAGTAAGACAATTTTTTAAAAAGCTATTAGAGAAGTGTGAAATGTGTATTCATTTGTAAACTCACATTTTTACAAAACTGTCTGAGATGTTCCCCAGTTATAAAATCTGCACACGTGCAGATGGGCTAGTTGAATTTATTTTAAATTCTGTTTTTTTTTTAAAAAAGAATTATTTATTTACTTGAAAGTCAGAATTACATAGACAGAGGAAGATAGACACACACACACACACACACACACACCCCTCCTCCGTCCACTGCTTCACCCCCGCCATATGGCTGTAATGGCTAGGGCTGGGCCAGGCCAAGAAGGCATTTCTTCCAGCTCTCCCACATCGGTTGCAGGGAATGAGCGCCCGGGCCACTCTCTGCTGCTTTCCCATATGCATTTGCAGGGAGCCGGGTAGGAAGTGGAAGAGGTGGGACTCAAAGAGCAACCAATAAGAGACACCACTGCCACAGACAGCAGCTTGGCTTGCAGACAGCCGGCTACACCACAATGCTAGCCCAACCTTGTTTTAATTACACATGTTCTAGAAAATCTGAAAGCTTCATATAAGGATATACAAGGAAATATGATTCGTATTCTTATCTTCCAAGTATATGAAACAAAAAGTTTGTAGAAAATATACACTGTGAAAAAAAAAAAAAAACTCTACCTACATCTCACAACAGTTTTTGCACCAAAATAAATCTTTTAAATTTCATTTTCCATGAACCATCTAAAGCACCTCTTGACCTAGAGCCCTTTAAATTCATCTGTGAAATTAATGAGCAGGTGGTGGACTTACCTTCAGTTGTGTATTTGGTTCTTTTATGTGCGATTTTGGGCTCAGGTGTTTGAGAAACAAGCTTAGAAGTCAAGAATTCAGCTGCTCCTGCATCAAAGAATGTATTCCCAATGGCTTTATCTTTAATGGCCCAAATCACTTCACAGCCTTCAATTTCATATCTAAGAGTAATATTAAAGTTATTTCATTTCAAAAGTCCAAACAAATCTTCATATCAACAAATAATCATCATCTCTCAAGGGAGAGTAATAAACATATTTTTAAGGCAGTTTGGGAAAGACTGACTTAATATCCTTTTGTATTCAAAGCACCACATTATAGAAGGGGATAATAAAGGAAAAGAATCAGATTTAAAAAGTAAAATATTCATTCAGTAACAAAGAAATCATTGCCTGCATTTAATTCCTGTCATCTTGGAAAATCCCAAGTCATTTAAGTAAAAAAGGATGCAGTTCACAGGAAGGTCAAGGATCGTGGAGGAAGGATGGAACAACCATGGCATCTGCAGCCCAGCCTCCAGGCTATCCAGAGCGCTCAGGTATCTGATATTTTATTTCTGGGTTGGGACACTCAAGAATGTGGTTTTCCTATAAAAACTCATTGTCCTTTAAAGTCAATGTATCACATAATTTATCATCCATTCTGGGATATTATCTACTATTAGTCATTGCCATGGAATCAAGCCAGATGTCCAGTAACCATTGACTGACTACAGAAAATATATACACTATGGAATGCTAATCAGCCATAACAAGGAATGAAACTTTATCTTTTGCAACAAAATCAACACAAATGGGAGCCATTATCCTTAGTGAAATAAGCCAGTCCCTCAAAGACAGATACTTTTTCCATGATCTGCAGTACCCAAAATACGGAGTACAGCACAGTGTAAACGCTGTGAGCAACAATGACATTTTTAAAGTTGACTGTTACTTATAGCTTTAGTCTTGAGGAACATTGTTTTGTTTGTTTTTTTCCTACTTCACGATTTAATTTTTTTCCTAATAGACAGTTAAATCTGCAACTGTTAGAACAGAAAGAATGCCACTGTAAAAACTAAAGCAACAAAAAATGAGGAAGGAGAGGAAAGGTGGGAACGTGGGCGAGGGAGAGTAGTGTGGTACCATTTTGCTCCTGAATCTGTATCAGGAAGTACAAGAAGTTTGTTCACTTTATTAAAAATTAAAAACTGTTTTAATACAACTAGTATAAAATAAGATCATCTGGAACAATTTGGATGCCCCTCCCCCAAACTAATGAGATTTTTATTTGAACATGTAATATTAATCAGGATACTGTGTTATTTTTATATTTATTGAAAGTCACAGTTACAGAGTGGGAAGGTGGAGAAAGAGATCTTCCTTTCACTGGTTCACTCCCTAAATGGCTGCTTAACATAATTAAGGTACAAGAGCCATTTGCAATTAATTTTTTGCCTTCTTAATGCCAGCAAATATTCAGTCACAAAATTTCAGATAATCCAGAGATAATTGTGCATCTCATGCCATCTTTGTTGACCAGCAGAAAACATGTTTGTATTTATACCCCATTTATACATAGGCATGTTATGAAATGCAGAGGATTGGCCTGCTCTGCCACTGCATGGTTCCTACGAGTTATTTCTGTACTTAATTAACCTCAAGGGACGCCTTCTAATCCTCTTACCCCAACTTAAATCACACTGTCAATAACCTCCACAAGACTGGATCACATACAGGGGATACACCTCAAGTTCATAACCAAGAAAGCAGACAGTGAGCTATTAGTTTTGTAAAATTCTAAAAAAAAAACTGTGTGTTTGAAAAGGTGACATTGACTTATACTTGGAAAGAAGAAAACAGAGATACCTAAAATAAAAGTAAACTGAAAAAGTATTCACCTCAGGGGAGCACAGCGCAATTAGACACTAGACAGGGCTTACATATGTCATTTTTCATGACAAAGACTCATTCACTGGGCCCACACTGAGAACAGTAGCACAGGGGACCTTTTTAAAGAGATACTGAGCACCAAACTATGAGTTTTACAAAAATGCATAGCTTTCACTCTCCAACCTACAGGAAACCAGGAAGAAGTTCCATGTTGTGAGACATGGGACATCATAACGAACATTTCTGAATATCACAAACTTTTTCAATGTAAATAATAATTACAGTACTGACACCTTTTCTAATAGGCAAAATAGGTTACATGTACGTCATGATTTGAAGCCACTCTCAACCCCCTTTTTTGCTTTTGGCTCTGGTTTTCTCAATGTTTTTTGAAGTTGAAATTTTCTTATGAATCAATGTGCTCACATTTCTAAAGTCTCGAAAATACTAAAAGCTGGGAAGTACTACATATCCCAAATTAAGAATCACAAATGATAGTGGATGTCACTGGCCAAGCAGGTAACTACAATGAGTGAAACAAGATGGGTTTAACCAATAAAAATTGGCGGGGCAGTGACTAGCAACCTAACAGTGTACACATTTACATTATTTTGAGACACAGCACATGGTTATGAAACACAACTGTGGGTCAAATCCAGTCAGTCACCAGTGAATGACCTACTGACAGTTAAGGCATTTCAATGTTAATAGTTTAATTCTTATAATCATGTATTCTAGAAAAGACAAAAATTAAAGTAAAAATTCAGGATAGCAGTTTATCTGCTTTAAAATACAGGAAAACAATTATATCTATCTTCAATTTTCAAATATCAAAGGTATTTCCAAGGTCTTTCTCCCAATAACCACGAGTCAGAGTAATTCTTAAATAACATTAAAAAAGCATACTTACACTAGCTCAAGTGCAATACCGCCGTTCCCTATGATCATTATTCTTTTTGCTTTAGTAAGCTGTTTCTGAAATTCCTACATTAAAATGAAAATGAGACAGTGTTTTAAAATAGTGGGCATTCAAAATATTCCAAAAATCTATTTTATTGCATTTGCAAGGGAGAGTAAGTCTCACTATCACTTGGATGTACCCTTCCAGTTAATATCATAAACTGGCAAGGATTTTCCTTGCCTTTTATCATACTATATGTTGAGCAGTAAGAATTTCTGCTTCTAGGTTATCACATTTCCAACGATCAGCCCAAATCAAGTGTTACTCCTTTTCTTCTAGTTATCCGTCGCTGCATTTCCTTAGAGTCACTCAACATTTTACTATCTCAGGACTGAGAAGCCAGCCGCAGAGCGGCCAGGGGCACAGAGCCTGGGTCACCCAGCTGCAGCAGGGCCTGACTGGGACTCCTGGTCAGGCTGCCCACGTTCTCTGTGCATCAGGTTCTTCCACCAAAAAATGGAAAAAATAAATGACTACATCTCCTAATGTTTCTGCAAGGACTGGGTGGAGAATACAGCTCTAAGTTGTCAGGAGTAACAGGCACATAACAATGTCTAAAGTTTACTGAAGAAAGTTACATTTTGCCATTATAACATCACTATATTATAACGCATCACTCCGTGAGCAGTGATAGTGAGCTTGGAGAAGGTACTGTGCATTTTCTTGTACTTCTGAAAGCCCAGAATAATTCTTTTACTTCAAGAAGACAGCGAACAGATAAATTTCTCCTACTACTAAGTAACCATTTTTACTAAATTGGCCCCCAAATTTATACTATGTAATAAATAACCAGTGGATTTGACTTCTATAAAATTCTACACGAAGGTGGCACATAATTGAAGAAAGATCTGTAAGAACCACCTGACGTAGAGATGAAAGGCATTGAGTATAAACTGTGCATCTGCTAAACTTAAAAACGACTTTAACGCAGGTAAGTATGTAAGCTCTCCACGTCAGCATCCTCTCAGGAAAGGGAGTGACCGGCACTGCACAGGACCATGAGGAGGACTCAGTGCACTCAGACAAGCAGAAGCCCTCGCTAACACAGCTGTGAGCTCCATCTCAGTAACAGGAGCCTGAAATGTTGCTGAGAAAGTTAAATTTCTTAGCCTAATGAATAGGCTTAAAGACAACATAATTCCCAAGAATACAAAATGTTTCACCTCAGGCAACAAGGCAACCACTGTGAGCTCAAGGCAAGGAGAATTAATACAGAAACCCCAGGAAGAGGGGCAGCAAGGGTTAATAAACGCTAAAAAATTTACAAGAAGCACTTATATGTTCCACAGAGAGAAATATTGCTTTATTAGGGTATTCATCAAGTTTTGGGCAGAACGGTAAGCCAAGTTATTCAGTTTCATGATTCTATCATGGTTTCATATCGTCATGACCTTTTGATTTTCATTTTTGCTGTTAAGCAGTAAGCTCTGTAAATTCTATATTTGCTTTACTTCTGTGGAAAAGACCGTTACTTTATTTAGGTGGCAGGTCACACATGTGCAGGTGTCATAATGAATATGTGTTCAATGCAGACTGTCACAATCAGCACAGCCCTTTTATACGTCTAAGACATCGCACCAGAAGCACATGGATCATCTGGAAGTAAAAATCAAACCAACTAAAAATGAACTGAAATTGCAAGCAACCCAACATTATGATCACCTTCCAGTTGCAGCATCACGAAGCTGCTCTTCGAGTTAGGGATTCACATGCAGGCAAGTGGAAGGGAGGAACCTTCATTCTGTGTTCACGCTATGATCCGACCGTAACACTCACCCGAGCACTGTCTGTGTCGCGAATTCCTAAAACGTAAGGATTTCCTTCACAGATCAGCTTTGGCTTTGCTCCAGTACACAGACAGAGTTTTCCATACACATGCTGCCGGCCGTCTTCTGTTAAAATGCACTGTAAACACATGCCACAATGAAAACAAGGGAGACTTGTACATATGGATTCAAGTTCATTTCAAGTCAAATATTTGGTCACGACATAAGCAAAAAAGGTTATCTCTGGGTGGACCAACCCAACACTTTGTTACAGCATCTACAAGCCTAACGAAGCACAAGAATACAATCTCCCGGCTTGACAGGGGAGCCTAGATGGCCTGTGCCATGTAACTCCCTGGGCTAGGCTGCTGCACCTGCTGGTGTGTGAGAGCTGCAGCTGGGCCATGTCGGGTGGAAGATGCGGGGGGGACCCTAACAGCTTTCAGCATCAGCAAGCAGCCTGTGCCTTCATCTCATGTTGGCCTCAGACACATCAGGATCTCTGATCTCAGGGACCAGAACCTGTGAGTGTGTGGTCTGGCCTTGGGGCACATGAGGTACGATTAGACCACCTTCTTGGCTGAGTTTTCACTGAAGATGTGGGGCAGGGGACACGTCCACTGGTACTGAATGGAAATTCTCCAGCTCATGAGAGGGATCTATTTGGTGTTTTTTAAGATTTGTTTACTTTTGTTGGAAAGGCAGATTTATAGAGAGAAGGAGAGACAGAGAGATCTACTGGTTGATTTTCCAAATGGCAGCAATGGCCAGAGCTGAGCCAACCTGAAATCAGGAGCCAGGAGATTCTGGGTCTCCCACACAGGTACAGGCTCCTAAGATTTGGGCCATCCTCTACTATTTTCCCAAGCCACAAGCAAGGAGCTAGATGGGAAGTAGAGTGGCCGGGACACAAACCTGCATCCACATGGGATCCAGGTACATGCAAGGTGAGGATTTAACCACTGAGCCACTGTGCCAGGCTAGAGAGGAATCTGTTAGACAAGAGTCCAAGCCGGGGACAGGTAAGTCCTACACCACCAATCAGCTGGAATTAACTACAGAAAGTGTAATGGATCTGCACCCTTCAGCAACCCTTAGACTAAGGGCTGGAAATTTCTGAGGGAATGCATGACACAGCTAGGTGGCTAGCTAAGGGTCACAGAGAGAAATATTGCTTTATTACTTAACCATTTCCTTCCCTTATCCACACTCCAATCCCTGCTATACTTATTTTTCCAAATGCCCTCTTCCCTTCTTGGGCTCTTGCGTAAGCAGTATCTCCTTCTTGGAATGCCTTTTTCACCTTGCCTTTCGTCTTACCTTCCCTAATATCAGTATCTTGATGATAATCTTTTAGTGGCTATGCCTTTGACATGCCATGCAGTTATATGGTATGATCTATGTTTCTGACAGCTCCTAGATCCAGGTACCTTGTATTTTACCCAGTATGTTTCAAAACGATCAAAAACACAGTGGACATTAATGTAATCTGACATGTGAAACTAACATGCAAACCAAATAATTGCATTAGCTTAATAAGTTAATAAAACTGCATATTTTCCTATTTTTTTTTTTTAATTAATGGAATTCACTGTCACTAAACTTTACACATTAGCGCTTAAATGCTGTTAATGGTAGTGGTGAGACAAACAGAAGGCGTATATAACTTGGTCAAGATATAACAATGGAAAATATCATTGAGAAAAAAATCATCTTACGTGTTCTTTACTCTTCAATTGCTTTACTCCAGATTCTATAACCTTAATGTTGGGAAAGCGACTCTCCAACATGGTACCTGCTTGTTCTTCAACATCAAATTCTTCTAATATTTTGGAAACCTGCATTAGATCAAAGTGGTAAAAATATATATTTAGATATTACTTTCTTTCAAGAATCTTAAATAAATCAGTTCTCATTTAATGTTATTACTACCATGAAATATTCATATAAGAAAGCTAGCTAACTGAATGACACTCAGTGGAAAAGGGAATGCACTTGGCATTTTAGCAGCTGAATTTGATTATTAATTGTGCCATGCCTGGACAAGCGTAGGAAGCTAGTTTCCTGGGCTGTGAAGAGAGGTTGACCTGTGGAAGGAGGGCTAATGCTGCTTACTTCCGCATGTTTGATGGAATCAGCTCATGCAGTCCCGTGTCCTGCTGGCTCCCTCTCCGCGTCTAGCTAACCACACTGGGACACAGTCTCTAGACTCTAGAACCTTCAGCATCTTCCTGAACTCAATTTCCATTCAAACTGGCAAAGATTACACTGCACATCACTTCATCTTTTAAGCAAACCCTTTCCTTTTTTGCTGACTTCTCAACCATTATTTAGCTCTCGAACCCCTGTCCATGGGTGACCCCACTTGATTTATCTACTCTCTCTCACAGTTTTCTATGGAAGGGCCGCTGAGCCCTGCAGATTGCTGCTCCTTAAACACTACATGAAAATCCTACCACACTAGAGCTTTTTAAATCTGTTAGACTCAAAGTCCATGAACATTTTATACATTATTGAGGACCCCAGAGAACTTTTGTTTACATAAATCATGCCTAGCAATATGCTTTTGAAAATACAACTGAGAAAAATTTCTTCGTTCACTTAAAAGAAATAAAAAGTCTAATGCACGTTTAATATACATAATTTTCAATGAAAATTACAATACTATCAAAAAAATGACAAGAATGACAATGGTTTACATCTTTGCCAATCTCTTTATATGGCTTAACAGAAGGTATCTTCTATGTTTCTTTTTCACTTAACTGCTTCTGTCAGTCTACTATAGTATGTCACTCTGGTTGAAGAACGGGAAGATAATTTGGCCTCACACAGACATGTAGCTTTTTCAGATAATTTTATATTTTTCTTTGATGTTATACTAAAATCAGGCAAGTGATGCTTTCTAATCTATGGATTAGTTATAATGTAAAATGTGGAAGTATAATCAAAGAATTTTTATACCATTCCTCTAAAATCCATTGGTGCCTCCATCACTCTGAATGGCTTTTCTAACATTATGTATTGGAAAACACTGGTTGAGTTATATTACACAATCAGAAAAAGTGTTAACACCATAAAAATCATTTAATCATAAACAAGAAAACAGGGGAGGAAGAAATTAATAATTTATAAAACCAGGGCACAATTAAGAAAATGACAGAAGTTAGTCTTCACTTATCAATAGTTACTTTGAATGTAAATGGATTAAATTCACCCAAAAAATGCTTAAGAGGAGGAAGATGGATAAGTGAAGTTTGCCAAGAGAGATGATATGACAGGTGACACAAGTCTTAATAAATTTAGGAAGAATGACATCATATCAAATGTCTTTCCCAATTACAATGGTACAAAACTAAAAACCAACACCAGAAATAATTCCAGAAAATTCACTATTATGGAGAAGTAAGACACGTTCCTAAAGGACCAACTTAAAAGAAAATTAATTCAAACAAAAATGGAAACACAACATACCAAAACTTACGGGATGCCATTAAGGCTGCTCCAAGAGGGAATAAATTCCACAGATCCATCGTACACCATACAATTCAGTGACAATGCATTGTACATTTGGACCTTAGTAAGAGATTTTAAGTGTTTTCACCACCCAAAAATGATAAATATATGAGGAATCATGGTAAACAGCTTGATTTAGCCACAAGATGTATGTAATATAGGCACTCATCAAAATACATTGTATGCTGTAAATACATAGAATTGTTACTTGCCAAGAAGAAAAAACAGACTGCTACTCCATGAAACTGCCAGGCAAGCTTTTCCACTCTTTTTTTTTCAAATTAATACCAAGATATTTTACAAAAGTTCTTACCTGCTTGAAATTTGTAACTGCTTTAATAACAGGAGAAGCGGTTACCAGGAGAATATCTTCTGATGGAAAGTGCAGAGCCAACTTATTTTTAAAAGGAAAGGGAAAAAAACTACAGTAAATAACTTCATAAGTTAATATAATAAACAATATTAAGGGGCAAGGATAACACAATTTGAATAAAGTCAATTTTGGAAATTTAAAAACCCACCATCCCTCCTCTAAAGTCTCCATTACCCTGGGACTCCTTCACATTTACCGATCACTGGTGAATGTTAAGTTCTGATACTGATCAAGTGATCATCCTGTTTGTAGTACACAGTTAACAAAGCTCTGCTGAGCAAAGAGTGATTTTCAAAAAGGATCTTTTTTCATAGGTGCACCAAACTTCTATTTATTTCAAAATAATATTTTCATTTTCTTTCAACAGGATAAAATCTTTACACACACTCAGAGAGCTGACCTGCTGTGGTTTCAACCACTTTCCTCAGGTTGCAACCTCCTTCATTCTCTCCTCGAAATCACAGAAAGCCCTTTCTCATTTCAGGGTCCGGTTCTGTAACCCCACTAGGTGCAGCCTGGCTTTTTCCCGACTCTGTCTTCAACAGCAGCCATGCCATCCACACATCCTTAAAACCTACAGGATCTTTCAAATTTAATTTTTACATTTAATCTATCTCTTCTTAAATCTGAACTTTCTTCAGTATTTGCTACATCATTCTCTACATTTTCCCCCTGCATATCTCCCAATTTAAATCTCCCCTTTGGGTTTCCACTGCTAGATCAGGCCCCTACAGCTCAACATGAAAGAAAATCCACTTTCATTATCAGCTCTCCAGTCTCCGGTGCTAATTGTCTCTGCCTTAAGCGCCCCACAGGCAAGTCGCACCTCTCAACTTGGCCACCTTAAACCACTGCTCCCAATCATCTATTTATACATTCTTAGGCATGATGCACTAGACCCTGTAGGCTCTAGGGTTGGTGTTGGTGACTACGATGCTACCGCCCTTTTCTGCGATGCTTTCTGCATTAATAAACCTCTTCCTTCATACTGGGAGAAAAAGGACACCTCCTCTGAGAAAAGGTTACCAGCCTCGCTTCACTCCCTGAAACACTCCCCCAGCACCCCTACACGGTTAACATGGATGAAATATTATGTTTCCTTCCCACGAGACGGAGAGACAGAAGGAGTGAGCAGGGCCGCTGGAACCTCGACAACCTGCGCAGGGACCCAAGGTGTTGACTTCGTGAATACACGGCAAAAAACATGGACCATCATGTCAGACTTGAACGGCTGCAGTACTTGTGAAAACTGCAGTGACTGCTTGTGTTTGCATCAGCGAAATAATTCTGAGTTTTCTATGTGCAGATAGAGAGAGACAGAGAGAGAAGGGTACAGCACACAGTCCGGGCTATTCATTACAGAAAACTATTCCCTAATTATATTTGATCTCTCCCACTCTCCTTTTTTTTTTTTTTAAACCAGGTAGGAAATTCCTCCTTCCTTCGCAAAAGATAGGAAATACACGATGCTTTCTTAGTCAACGGTAAGGATCAGACACCTGTCTGAAAATGGAATAATATTTAAAAAGGGTCCCTCGCGTGCTCCGCAGAGGGATCGCCCCAGTCCTCCCGGCGTCTGACTCGGATCCCCCAGGCTCCCGCCGTACCTGCTCCGCGCAGGTGACGCCCGCGATGCCGCCCCCGACCACCACGAACGGCCCCGCCGAGGCGGGAGGGCGAACGGCCTCCATGCTCCCACACTCCGCCAGGGAGCCCCAGGAATCCCTTTGCCGGGGGAGCCGACCCGCACCGGCGCGCACTTCCGAAGCCGACACTTCCGGCTATGGAGCCGGCGACTCCGCCCTACGGGTGCCCGGCAGCTCACACTTAGTCAGTCGCTCGCGTTTCGGGAGGACGTAAGCGTCTTCTGGTGTCCAAGGTTCTGTTGACAATTCCCTACGCGTGAATATGGAGTTTGTCTTTGATAAACACAAACGAAGAAGTTGGGTCTCCGAAAGAGGTTTGGCAAATCGCTTGTCTGAGGAGAGACCGGTGTTCCCTCAGGGCAGACTGTTTCTAGAATTGGAGCTTGAACGCTTAGTGGTGAAGGAGGCTTCCAGAACATCCCGCCGCCTCACTCCTAGCATTCCTAGTTAACTATCTGATTGCCACCGTCTCCCGACCAATATTTCTTATTTGTGGAAGCACGTTCTTTATTCTGGCTAAACCCAGGCGGTGTTACTGAAGTGTTCCCAAGAGGTTATCTTTTTCCATCTGCAATTTGAAGCTCTTCTAAAACTTCCAATGAAACAAATGCCCTTTGTTTTCAAATAAATCACACCACGTGAGGGTAGAATGTGATATCCCCAAGATTAATTCCACCGTTAACACCTTTTTGGGCATGTGATGGCGTTTATTTTGGGAAGTTTCAAGAAATTGGTTTGTTTGGGGACGAGAGTGGATGTCCTTTTTAACCCCACCATACTCTACCGTTAGTCACTATATCAGTATGTGTTGTTACCACTGCTGTCTTGTTGAAATGTTTTTGTTGGTGGTTAGGCTGGTTTTGTAAGAATCAGGAACTATTTCCGAAGCCTTCTAAAACTGCAGTTACCGAGGCCCGCTTAATTCCCTAAGCCCGGAGAACACCCACACGTGACCTACAGATCTAGTTACGGATGCTCACTTCCGTAAGTAATAGCCGTTGCGCGTTGATTTGCTACGTGCAATGGCAAGGAACTCAGGCAGCGTTAATTTTGGTTCCCGGTTTAGACAGTTAAAGCATTTCTAAGAGAAGCCCATTTAGATCTCATTTTGCTGCTCCAGTTTGTTTTCACACGAGATCGTGTGTGTCCTCCAGGCACTGCTCTTGACATGGGCACTTTTCTTTGTTCCCTAAGCGTTTGCCCGTGTTGGCTTTTAACTACCCCCTAATCCACTGCCCGTACCTTCCACCATGTCCGGAGTGTCCCAACCTCAGGGCTGCGTGTGTGTTAGTAGTAGGTGCTCAACGAAGAGTGCTGAGTTAGGAAGTGGATGGTGTGACACTCTGTGTTATGACAACTGTTTTCCCTTACGGAGTTCGGAAAGGCTGGCGTTTTGACTCCTCGAGGAAGTGGGGGGAAACGTGTGTAGGTGGGAGGAGGCCCACAAGGTAGGGGGCTCCTTTCTCAGAGCAAAGTCATTGTGAGCCCATTTTCTGTTCCGCTGAACACTGACATTTGTCATGGAGTCAAAGGTCCTGCTGCCTCCCACGCTGGCCTGAATATCCATTTGGTTTTTTGTTTTAGAAATTTCTAGGAATTAAACAACCTTCAGGGAGAAGAATGCAGGGCTGTCGGTGCGTCTCATGAGAGTGTCCATTGAGTAATCAGAAAAGGGCTCGTGGTGTAGGGCCTGTTAAAGCTGACGTGCAGGCAGCTGGAACAAGGGCCCTGCGAGTGCAGGGGTAGGAGTGAGCTGTGACAAGGGGGAAACTGCAGAGAGAATGGGCTGTTGGGGTGGAAGCAGGCTTCAAGCCAAGAGCAGCAGAACAGACACAAGGGCAGGTCTCTGGTCCGGAAGCGTAGGGGTGAAGGCCTCCCCATTTGGTAACTTTCTAAGGTGTCGGAGAATGACCCATGTGCTGCTAAGTGTTACAGTTGATGTTTCAAGGTTAAAAAGAATGGTGTGGGGTGCATCTGGATCTGGATCAATCCTCAAAACCTCAGTAGTATTCATAGCTCAAGAATCAAGAGCTTTGTGGCAGAAATGAGTGTGGGAAATACAGGGGCTGGAAAAAAAATAAACAAAAAAGACAAATAACTGCAAAAACGGAAGGAGATAAAACAATGTTTGCTCTCCCCTTCCTTAATTTTCCTAAATCTGGTTTCTCTCCCGGTCTCTTTTTCGCTTCTCACTCCTTTCAGTCATCTTAGGAAGAGAAGAAGCTTCGAGCTGATTAATTCAAAACCCCTCCTGCTCTCTGTTTTATGCTGACCTCAGAAGTCACTAAGAGAATTTAGACTCATTTGAACTATTTTATTGAAAATTTGGAAAGAGAAATGAAAATGTCATGGGCGGCTCATGGTTACCAGCTTTTGCTTTCCGGGTTCTGATGAGGCTTTGGCATTAGTGCCCTGCATTGTGGCCATCCCGTGAGTAAGTTACTCTCATGAGGCCTAGCTTCCTTGTTTTCAAAGTGGGCATAATGTCTACTTTGTTGAGTTGTTTTGGTGTGTGTTTAGTATATTTCAATTTCCTAGCACAACAGGAGCTGCTTAGTAGGGTTAATGGGCAAACTGTGCTCCATGCACCGTTGAACAGTCTGTCTCTTTGAGGGGATTTTTGTCTATGCGAGTTTCTGGGCACTTGGGTCCCCCAAAACCTGTCTTTGTGGCTTGCTGGGAATCATCTCCTGGTGATTCAAGGCTCTTCAAACTCACCCTGGGGTCAAATGAATTCATCTTATCCAAGTTGCCTTTACAAAAACATATTAAGTTTTATTCAGCAAGCTGGACTTATGAAAGGTTTTTGAAATTTTTTTTTTTAGACATTTGGAAGGCAGAGTTAGAGAGAAGACAGAGAATGAGATTCCCATCTGCTGGTTTACTCCCCAAAGGATCACAACAACTGGCTTTGGGCACAGCTTAACTCACTCCAACTGGTCTTTGATAGAGGGGATCCAAAGAGTTAAGCATCTTCTGCTTTTCCGGGTACATTGGAAGGAGCTGGATGGGGCCCAGTGCGGTGGCCTAGCTGCTAAAGTCCTCGCCTTGAAAAGGCACTTGGATCCCATTTGGGTGCCGGTTCTAGTCCCGGCAGCCCCACTTCCCATCCAGCTCCCTGCTTCTGGCCTGGGAAAGCAGTCGAGGACAGCCCAAAGCCTTGGGACCCTGCACCCATGTGGGAGACCTGGAAGAAGTTCCTGGCTCCTGGCTTCAGATTGGTGCAGCACCGGCTGTTGTGGACACTTGGGGAATGAATCATCAGATGGAAAATCTTCCTCTCTGTCTCTCCTCCTTTCTGTATATCTGACTTTGTAATGAAAATAAGTAAATCTTAAAAAAAAAAAGAAAAGGAGTTAGATGCGCAGTGGGGCCTCCAATCAGCGTTTGTACATGTTTGTATCTCGCCACTTTTTCTGTGAATGAGTTTTGCTCTCTAAATTCCCGCTTCTCCTCTAAACTTACATAGTTGTTATGAACATCCCTGGCTCAGCCAGCAGAAGCCTTAAGTACCTGCAGGCAGTCCAGTTAGGCTCCTTTTTGTGCTCTTGTCCCAGCTCTTCTGACCAGACACAACCAGCTGGGCCACTTAGTACATAGAACATATTTTGTAGAGCAGCTTTATAAAAATATATTTGATTTAGCACTGAAATTTTGTTATTTGTTCTCACTGTGAAACTGTGTTCAAAGAGGGAAAGCTTTTTCCTTAGTAAGGCAAAGCGTTTGAAGAGATGCATCTGCTCGTTGTGCTGTGATTTTTTAAATATTTTTGAAAGTGATGTAAGTTTTCAGCAGCTATAGAAAAACCACAGTCTCTTGTGTTTCAAGAGAATTGAACGGCTCTTTATTCCTTCCTTTTCTTTGCCCAGGTGTGTACCTCAGGATCCTGAATTGCCCTTCCCTGTGTTTATCAATGTTCCCTATAGGAAAGGAATTGTTGATGTTGGTTATCAGAGGGTCGTAACTTGGAAAATAGTTATGTACTTTCATTTGTTTTTTTTTTTTTAATTTATTTGTAAGACAGAGTTAGGAGGATAAGGTGGAGGAAAGAGGAGAAAGGGAGAAAGGGAGGGAGGAAAAAAGAGGAAGAGAGAGAGAAAGAGAGAGAGCACTTTTATCTGTTGGTTTACGTTCCCAAAATGCTGCAGTGCCAGGGCAGGGCCTGGTGAAAGCAGGGCAGGGCCTGGTGAAAGCTGGGAGCTTGGAGCTTCTTCTGGGTCTTCCATGTGGGTGCAGAGACCCAAGCTCTTGGTCCATCTTTCACTACCTTCCCAGGATCATTAGCAGGAAGCTTAACTGGAGGTGGTACAGACAGATCTTAAACCAGTGCCAGTATGACATGCTGGTGTTACAGGCTGAGGCTTAACCTGCAGAACCTTTTTGATAAATACAGCGTTTTTGAACTCTCATAATACAAAGCTTAGATAACTTACTAAAATGTTCATTTTCCTCATTGTATCTATGATTTTCCTTTCCTATGATTATTCTTTTTCTTTTACCTGCCCTTAATGCAATTATTTCTCAGAACTGCATTCTCTATGAAACTCTGCTCTATTCCTGTCCTTCCATTATCATCACATTAGTTCTTACAGGGTCCCACTTTCTTGGAATCAGCAGTGTGTCACCTAAAGTTGTCAGTCTTCCTATGTCTGTTTTCAGCGGAGGTGACCGTGTGACACAGTCCTGCTCAGTAATGGGCAGGAGCCAGGGGTCCAGGGGGAAGCCTTCGCTCTCTGGATGTGGATGCTCATGTTCCCACCTGCTTCGTATCTGTGATGTGCACATCAAAATTAGGAAAGAACAGACAAATAAGAAGACAGGGATTCTTCAAGGGCATTCTTATACCACTGTTTACACTCTGGATGGGTTCCTTGCTGCCTGAGACTATTAAGTCTCTTTATGTATAAACCACTGTGTGTTTTCTGTTGCTTTTCATTGCACATAATCCTGGGCCCCCTTTTATGTCATGATCCAAGGACATATACATTTCATTAATTCATATTTATTTCTGTCATTCTTCTCTGCTTTCCCTGTAAGGTACCATTTGAAAGTGCGAGAAAGCTGAAGTTGTTTGCAAAGTCAAATCAGCTGCTTTTTTGTTCATGTGAATTTGGTGATTAATTTTTCCTGGCATTTTCAGTGTGATTCATTTGTGACTTTGTGATGTAGGCATAGTGTGGTTTGTACTTGGAGGACTGTGATGGCAGTTTGACTTTGGTACATTGTGACCTAACACACTCTTGTTAATTCAGGTCAATAGCATCTATAAATCC